ATCCTCCCCCTCCTCTCGCGAACGGCTTCCACGGAATCTCGAACGTCCACTGCTAAGCGACACGGCGCATAGTTTTTGTTATCGTTCATTCACCCGCAGTATTGACCAGAGCGGCCGCTGAAATTCGAACCGCAAACCTCTGCAAGAACAATGACAGCCACAAGAATAACAGCCACAACAATAACAGGCGCAACCATTGCAACATTAACAGCCGCGGCAATATCGCACCTCCCATGAGCACGGTTGGCTACGTACGGTGCGAATCCAGTTCAACATACATACACACAACAGCCACAACAACAACAGCCACAACAACAACAGCCACAACAACAACAGCCACAACGGGGATGTTGTGTCCGCTGTCTTCAGCTTTTCAGACGCTCCGAGGAAGGGGAGCGCGAATCAGCCCCGCCCCTCTCGTCCCCTCAGCCCCGCCCCTCTGCTCCCCACAGCCCCGCCCCTCTGCTCCCCACAGCCCCTCCCCTCCCATCCACATCACCGTCACGCATCGCCAAGTTACGCCACGCACGCATGCACACACACACGGATACACACACACTGATGCACACACACTGATGCATACTCACACACACTGATACACACACACACTGATACACACACACACTGATGCATACTCACACACACTGACACACACACACTGATGCATACTCACACACACTGATACACACACACACTGATGCATACTCACACACACTGATACCCACACACTGATACACACACACACTGATACACACACACTGATACACACACACACTGATGCATACTCACACACACTGACACACACACACTGATGCATACTCACACACACTGATACACACACACACTGATACACACACACACTGATGCATACTCACACACACTGACACACACACACTGATGCATACTCACACACACTGATACACACACACACTGATGCATACTCACACACACTGATACCCACACACACTGATACACACACACTGATACACACACACACTGATGCATACTCACACACACTGACACACACACACTGATGCATACTCACACACACTGATACACACACACACTGATACACACACACACTGATGCATACTCACACACACTGATACCCACACACTGATACACACACACACTGATACACACACACTGATACACACACACACTGATGCATACTCACACACACTGACACACACACACTGATGCATACTCACACACACTGATACACACACACACTGATACACACACACTGATACATACTCACACACGCACACGGATGCACACGGATGCACACTCACACTAATGCACCCACACACATCAGGATGCACACTTACACACACACTGATGCACGCACACACACACCGATGCGCACACACGCACACATCTTGCACGCGCATGCACAGACACGCGCTCACTCACTAACAGATGCACAGTCACACACAGTCACACTCACGTGCGCACAAACAGTCACGCACATGCACTCGAAAACAAAGCCTTATAGAATGTTGGGACAAGTCTCACTATTCGCGAGCACCTTTGAAGGCCACAACGTCACACGAGTGGTGGTGTTAATGGTGTAGTCAATGCCATGCCCGGCCGCACACCCAGACACTCACACACGCAGTCACACACTCACTCGCTCACACACACACGCAGTCACACACACGCAGTCACACACTCACTCGCTCACACACACACGCAGTCACACACGCAGTCACACACTCACTCGCTCACACACACACGCAGTCACACACACAGTCACACACTCACTCGCTCACGCACGCAGTCACACACACACATTAAAAGACAAAGGTCCCCCGTATATCCTTAACAGACTGTAGGGGCAAGTGCTGTTAGCGAACACCTATGAAGGCCGGCACGGCACACGAGGGGAAGGGGAGCCAGCACTATGCACGACCGCCTTTGTCTCCCCAGTGGCGATTTTTACACACCAGGTACGCATTTGAGGCTGAGTCGACCTAGGGGAAACCCAGGACCGGTCCAGATAATCGTCACTGGGTGTTGGTGGCCGTGAGCGGGATTCGAACCCCGGCCGCCGGGTTCGTAGCGCAGCGTAGCGCTAACCGCTGCACTACCGCTCCAACGCGCCCGCACGCTCACCCACCTATCACAACACATCCCTCCTACACTCGCACGCACAGTCACAGACACAGTCACGCGCCCGCACGCATCCACCCGGTCGCACACACAGTGACAGTCACACACTCACAGTCGCGCACGCGTGCGCGCGCGCTCTGCGCTCTTCCCGAGTCCCGTTCGCTCCTCGCTTCTCGGCCACCGCCGCTATAAATCTATTTATATCGCTTTCCAGGTCACTGCGATCGATGGCAGCAATGACAAAAGCGCATTCCATCTGTAAGATAGCTTAATAGCACACAACTAATTGGCGAGGCGCCGCCAAGTTTGAAGCAAATAAGAACACAACTCGCCTGTGTTTGGTGTGCGCGAACCAAATTGCTGCTGTCTACCCACGGCATCACCACCATCACCACCACCATCACCACCACCATCACCACCACCATCACCACCACCATCACCACCACCACCACTCACCACCACCATCACCACCACCACCATCACCACCACCATCACCACCACCACCACCATCACCACCACCATCACCACCACCACTCACCACCACCACCACTCACCACCACCACCATCACCACCACCACCACTCACCACCACCACCACCACCATCACCACCACCACCATCACCACCACCACCATCACCACCACCACCATCACCACCACCACCACCACTCACCACCACCATCACCACCATCACCACCACCACCACCACCACCACTCACCACCATCACCACCATCACCACCACCACCACCACCCACTCACTCACCTCCCTCCACCACCATCACCACCACCATCACCACCATCACCACCACCACCACCCACTCACTCACCTCCCTCCACCACCATCACCACCATCACCACCATCATCACCACCATCACCACTATCATCACCACCATCACCACCATCATCACCACCACACACTCACTCACCTCCCTCCACCACCATCACCACCATCACCACCACCACCATCACCACCATCACCACCATTACCACCACCCACTCACTCACCTCCCTCCACCACCACCCACTCACCTCCCTCCACCACCATCACCACCTCCATCACCACCACCACACACTCACTCACCTCCCTCCGCCACCACCACCCACTCACTCACCTCCTTCCACCACCACCCACTCACCTCCACCACCAACTCTATCACCACTATCATTACCATCACCACCTCCATCGCCACCACCACCCACTCACTCACCTCATTCTACCACCAATTCTATCACCACCACCACCACCACCACCCACTCACTCACCTCCTTCCACCACCACCCACTCACCTCCACCACCAACTCTATCACCACTATCATTACCATCACCACCTCCATCGCCACCACCACCCACTCACTCACCTCATTCTACCACCAATTCTATCACCACCACCACCACCACCCACTCACTCACCTCCATAACCACCAACTCACTCACTCACTTCATCACCACCACCACCCACTCACTCACCTCACTCTACCCCCAACTCCATCACCACCACCACCACCCACTCACTCAATCACCTTCTACCACCACCGACTCACCTCCCTCCACCACCAACTCTATCACCACCACCACCCACTCACTCACCTCACTCTACCACCAATTCTATCATCACCACCACCACCACCACCACCACGCACTCAATCACCTCCATAACCACCAACTCACTCACTCACCTTCTACTACCACCACCACCCACTCACTCACGTCCCTCCACCACCAACTCTATCACCACCACCATCATCACCACCTCCACCACTGCACAGCTCCATTTTGTTGGGAGCGGATTAGACAATCTGTGTGTCTAGCCATCACCACAATCACCGGCACCACCACCATCAGCACCACCACCATCAGCACCACCACCAGAACCCCCCCCCACACAACCTTCGTTTTGAAAGGGGGGGGGGGTTCTCTCCCTCTCTCTCTCGCGGCGCGCAGCTCTTTTCACGCACAACAATTTTACTATAGCCGCTGGCAATTATTTGCGAGCGTCTCCTCGGCCTCCGTCCGCCGAGTCACCGTCGACCGACCGAGCGAATCCGCCCGGGCCCCCCGACCGTGAAGTTCCCATTACTCTCGTCTCGGGCGGTCGCCCCGCCTGGCCCAGGGATAATGATGTGTTGTTTCTTGCCGGCATAATCTGTCATGCGTGCCTCCTACGACCAAGCTCGCATTTCTCCTTGTTCTTATTTTTTTTATACGTTTCTCGTTTCCCCGTGGTCGCGGGCGCGGAAAGAAGAGAGAGGAGAGAGAGAGGAGGAGGAGGAGGGAGACGCCGCGACGTGGAGAGCGCTCCTCCGATCCGCTCGCTCGCCACCAAGAGAGAGAGTACGCAGAGGAGCGGTGCGTTACATCGCTGTTGTTATTCTTTATACATCGTTACTGCTACTATTATTATTGTTGCTGCTGCTGTTGTTGTTTAGGGTGAACATGTAGCGACGGAGAAGAAGGGAGGGGGTAAGAGGATAAGAGGAAGAGGAGGTCAAGAAGGGGGGAGACCATCATCAGAGGAGGAGGTTAAAGAGTGAAGAGGGCGCGAGGTGGAGGAGGAGGTAGCGAGCAGAGTTTGTAACGCACGGGGCAGGGGGAGGAGGACAGAAGTTGAAAAGGAGGAGGACCCCAAGAAGAGGAGGGGATAGAGGAGAACAACAACAACAACAGGAAGAGGAGGAGGACAACAAGTAAACGAGGAGGACAAAGAGGAGGAGGGAGCGCGCTCGCTGCGCGCCCGTGCGGCAGCGCGCGGCGCCTCCTCCGCTGCTGATGGGAGACGCGGGGCGAGGCGCTCGGCGAGCGCAGCGGAGCTGAGAGGCGGCGACTCGCGACCCGGGGATTGGGGATCGGGGATCAGGGGATCGGGGGATCGGGGGATTGGGGGATCGGCGGATCAGGGGATTGGGGGAACGGCGCACAGCCCGGAGAGGTCCTCTTGGAACTTCTCGGGAACCCTGAGAATTCTAGGACCCCATCAACCCTCCACGCCCCCCCGCCTCGTCTTAGAACCGCTGTAGAACTGCTCGCAACTCCCGCTGGAACTGCTTGGGATCGTTGATATGTCCAGATCCCCTTGATCCCCTCTGGAACCCCTTGGGACCCCTTGGAACTCCTCGATTCTTGTTTGCAACTTGGGACTCGTAGGCTTCCTCCGCAAACCCCGTGTAACTATTTGGAACTTCTACAGCCGCCTGGAAGCGATTGAAATCTCAGGTCTCCCAAGACCCATTTTGGAATCTGTTGGAAGTCTTCGGACTTCGAGAACCCCCTCCTCCTGCAAGCTGTAGATCCCCTCTGGAACTCCTTGGAACTTCTACACCAACCAGAACCGCTTGCAACTTCGGAACTGCGAGAGGCTCTCGGAACTTCTTGGAATCTTTTGGAACCCCAACAAGTCTACTCCACATCCACCGGGCTCCCCCCACCCCGCCCCCCCCCCCCCAATCTCGCCCCTCCCCTCGCCTTGAGGAGCCGTCAACGCGGACGCGCAGAGGTGAGAGAGAGAGAGAGAAAAATAACTTAGCGGGGAGTGGGGAGAGGAAGGAGGCGGTGGGTGCTGTGTTGTAGGGTGGTGAGAGTGGTGGTGTGTGTGTGTTTGGGAGGGTGGTGAGTGTGTGTGTTGGGGAGGGTGGTGAGTGTGTGTGTGTTTGGGAGGGTGGTGTGTGTGTGTGTTGGGGAGGGTGGTGAGAGTGTGTGTGTGTTGGGGAGGGTGGTGAGAGTGGTGTGTGTGTGTTGGGGAGGGTGGTGAGAATGGTGGGGTGTGTGTGTAGGTGTGTGTTGGGGATGGTGGTGAGGTGTGTGTATGGGTGTGTGTTGGGGAGGGTGGAGAGAGTGGTGAGTGTGTGTGGGTGTGTGTTGGGGAGGGTGGTGGGGGTGGTGGGATGTGTGTGTGGGTGTGTGTTGGGGAGGGTGGTGGGGATGGTGGTGAGTGTGGGTGTGTCTTGGGGATGGTGGTGGGGGTGGAGCGGTAGAGTAGCGGTGAGCGCGCTGCGCTACGTATCCAGCGAGCCGAGTTCGATTCCCGCTTACGGCTAACACTATTGACGACTATCTGAATCCCTCCTGAACCTCCCTGTGCACGAGTGTATGTTGAACTTATCTCGCACCGTGCGTAGCCAACCGTGCTAAACGGGTATGCGATTAGGTTGGCTCAGCCTCAAATAAGTTCCTGGGGCGGTGTGCAAAACATCGCCACTGGGGAGACAAAAGCGGCCGGGAGTGGTGCTGGCCACCCATCCGCTCGTGTGCCGTGCCGGCCTTCATAGTTACTACTCGCTAACAGCACTTGCCCCAACAGTCTGTTACAGGTTATACAGGGGATCTTTGTCTGTGTCTGTGTGTGTCTGTGTGTGTGTGTCTGTGTGTGTGTGGTTGCGGCGGTGAGGTTAGTGGCGTGCGTGGATTATTGCATTCTTTGTCATTGTGGTTGATGGCGGTTGTGTCAGCGGGACAGGTGGTGGTGGTGGTGAAGTGTTGTGGGGTGGTAGTGCGGGTTGTGTGTTGCTGCTGCTGCTGCTGGTTGTAGTGCTGTTATTGTGTCTATGGAATGACGGTAGTCCTGGTACCGGCAGACGATCTGAATCCGATTTCACCGCTCCATCTCACCAGGATTCATTGCCCTCTGGGGCACCCTCCATCCCTTAGGTTGCCACTCCATCCTCATCATCATCGTCGTCGTCATTGTTATTTATTTACTTATTCCATCCATAACTGGGACACAAACCCAGGTCGTGACTCGCTCTCTCACCCCGCGTGGCGGGTAGTTCACTGCGGGTCACTCGGAGCCTGCAGACCCCAGAGACACGCACAGCCCATTGAGAGGAGATCGCTCTCCCTCCCCCCTCTCTCTCTCTCTCTACCTCTCCCTCCGTCTCCGCCTCTCTCTGGCGGGGTTAGCATTGTCCCCTCTGTTAAATTGTTTTGTTTAGAATTGGTCCTAACAGTAATAACAACAACAGCAACGCACGACAACATTGTTGCTACCGTTTACAGCCATAGGTATGCTTCGCCATACTTCACCACGCTGGTCAGCCCTGGAAATACGATGCTATTGATGATGACAATATATACTCCGAATACACAGAGTGCACCACTCGTGAGATAAAAGTCCACACACCAGGTGATGATGATGATGGGGTGGTGGTGCCAATGGTGTTGTTGGTCGTGGGGATTGTGGTGATGGTGATAATGATAGTAGTGATTATATTTATGGTGATGATGATGGTGATTATGGAGGTATCGGTGATCATGGTGATGCTGTTGATGTTAAGAGTGGCGATGGCGATGATGATCGTGGAATTGATGATGTTGATAATGGCGTTCGTCGTAGTGTTTGTCGATGGTGTTAATGATGATGTGTTGATGGTGGTGATGGTGTTGATGGTGGTGATGGTGGTGATGGTGGTGATGGTGGTGATGGTGGTGATAGTAGTGATGGTAGTGATGGTGGTGATGGTGGTGATGGTGGTGATGATGGTGATGGTGGTAATGGTAGTGATGGTGGTGATGGTAGTGATGGTAGTGATGGTGGTGATGGTGGTGGTGATGGTAGTGATGGTGGTGATGGTGGTGATGGTAGTGATGGTGGTGATGGTGGTGATGATGGTGATGGTAGTGATGGTGGTGATAGTAGTGATGGTGGTGATGGTGTTGATGGTGGTGATGGTGGTGATGGTGATGATGGTAGTGATGGTAGTGATGGTGGTGATGGTGTTGATGGTGGTGATGGTGTTGATGGTGGTGATGGTGGTGATGGTGTTGATGGTGGTGATGGTGGTGATGGTGGTAGTGATGGTGGTGATGGTGGTGTTGGTAGTGATGGTGGTGATGCTGTTGATGGTGGTGATGGTGCTGATGGAAGTGATGTTCTTGGCGTTTGTCGGTGTTGGTGGTAGCGGGTCTCTGTTGAATTCCCGCGTGTGTGTTGGGGGATGGGGGAAGGGGGAGACAAAGGCGGCCGGGCGTGGTGCTGGCGACCCACCCCCTCGTGTGCTGTGCCTGCCCTCATAGCTGCTACTCGCGAACAGCACTTGGCCCAAATTCATGTCAGGGCTATACGGGGGATCTTTATCTTTGTGGGGATATACACGGGGAGCGCTGACGCAGTGGTTAGCGCACGGCGACGTTGGGCCACCCGAGTTGTCCTCCCGGCCACGGTCAACATCACTGACGAATATCTGAACTCGTCTGTGGCTTCTCCCAGGTTGACTGAGTCTTAACCTTGCGGTGTGTGCACATCAGCACTGGGGAGACGAAGACGGCCGTGCGTGGGTCCTGGCAGCTTCACCCAGCCCCCCCCCCCCATTCTTGCCTTCATAGATGTTCGCTATAAGCACTTGCTCTAACCGTCAAATCGAGGCTATACGGGTGATCTTTGTCGTTGCAGCTCACAGTTCCTCGTGTGATGTCATTAATAGGTGGCTCGCTATCGGCACTTGCCCCACCCGTCTTTTAACGGCTATGTGGGGGATCTTTGGTGTGAGTGCCGACATCATAGGTGCTCGCTTATGGCACTTGCCCCTACAGTCTGCGAAGGCTATACGGGGGCGCTTTGTCTGTGTGACACGCGTGCGTGTGACGCGCACGCGTGTCACACGAGCTGTAGAACACCGCGATAGCACAGTCCCACGACTGAACGCGCTCTCTCTCTCCTCTCTCTCCTCTCTCTCTCCTCTCTCTCTCTCCTCTCTCTCCTTTTTTTACGATCAGAGGAAACAAGAAGATGCTCGGTGTAGTCGGCACTTTGCTTAGTTCATAATTTCGTTTTTTTTATGTTTTGCTTTATGTACCCCCCCCCCACCATTTAAATCAAAGATCCAACAATTTTTTTTAACTACGACAAGTGCTGCATCTGCACGCAGCCCTTCCCACAGTCAAACGGCCTCCGACGGGTAGCTTAGATTTGCATGCAGAGCTCTCCGTCATCTGCCACCGAGCACACGGCCTCCTCCAGCGCCCACTGCTCCTTGAAGGCCGGCACGGCGTGGGTCAGCCGCGTGTGGCGGAACTCCAGCCCACACCCTGGCTCCGACCAGAGCGCGGGAGATGCCCAGGCTGCTGGCCGGACGTTTCCCCTCCAGGGCTACCTTCCTCGCCCTGTATATGGCGAGCTTGGCGTAGCCGAAGAGCACGTTGACCAGCCCCTGAAGATGTTGGGGTCCGTCGCCCTTCGGGTATCCAAAGATGAGGACCGTCGGGGAGAAGTGGAGGCTGGACCTTAGGAGGATGTTTCTCAGGACCTTGAACACAGCGAGTCCAGGCTCTTGCACTCCACGTATTGGTGCGCCACCGTCTCCACTTTTCCGCAGAACCGGCACTCCGGGGACGTGTCGGTGAAGCGCGCCGGGAAGACGTTGGTGGTGACGGTGCCGTGGGCGATGCTCCAGCTGAGGTCGTCGATGCGGTTGTACGTCGGGCTGGAGTAGAGTTGCCTCCAGCGAGGCCTCTCCGGAGAGACGCAGGACAGGGCTTTCCTCCAGGCATGGTCCTTGTGGCTCCTCAGGGTGTCCTGTTGGTGGAACCGGACCATGTAGGAGTAGAGCACCTTCCTATTTACATTTGCGAAGGCCACCTCAGGCAGGTCTTCCAGCCGGCACAGGTGTTTTTTTATGCTTTGCTTTATGTAACCCCGCCCCCCCCCCCCTTTTTAAATGAAAGATTTAACAAAAGATTTCTCGCTCTGCTCTCCTTACTCCTTCCCTCTCTCTCTCTACCCCCCTCTATGCCCCCTCTCTCCTCTATCTCTCTCTCTCCTCTCTCTCCTCACTCTCCCTTCACTCTTATCTCCCAACTCTCTCCACGTATCTCCCTGCATCTTTTTCTGCTCTCCTCTCATCTCTCCACTCTACCGTCTGCCCTCTACTCTCTCCCCTTTCCTTATCCCCATTTCCTCTGCCCCGTCTCTCTCTCTTGGCGCTCTCCCCTCTCTTGGCTCTCCCCTCTCTCTGCTCCAATCGTCCCTCTTATCCCTTCTTTCATGTCCTCTCCCTTTGCTATCGCTGTTCCCCTCTCTTCTCCCTCCACACTCTCGCCCCCCTCCCCCTCTCGACTTCCCCCCCCCCATCGCCTCCCCCCCCCCTCTTGACTTCCCCCATCGCCCCTCCCCCCCCTTCTCGACTCCCTCCACCCCCCACACTCCGCTTCAAACCTCAGCTCCCCACGCTTCGCGCTCGATGAGTTTTGGATTCCTGCAGCAAGATTCGAGCGAGCAACCCGGCGGGGACTTTTAATTTGTGAAGAAACGCCGCGGGTGTCGCGTGGAGGGGCGGACCAGGGGGGAGGGGGTACGTGAGGGGCGGGGGGATGCGAGGGGGGGTTCTGTGAAATTCCTTGACGAGTTAAAATAAATTAAAAAACCTTCATTCACAAATTTTTCCCCTCCGCTCTGATGTGAACCTGACCCTAAGGAATTACTAAGCCCCCCCGTCATAGGAATGTGGAATTCCCACAAATGTCACGTGGCTGTAAACGGGAGACGAGTCCCCTCCCACGCTCATTTGAGCCTCGCAAAGATGACACCGGGAGATGTTTGCTGCGTGTGTTTATGTTGATGTGTGTATGTTGATGTGTGTATGTTGATGTGTGTATGTTGATGTATGTTGATGTGTGTATGTTGATGTGTGTATGTTGATGTGTGTATGTTGATGTGTGTATGTTGATGTGTGTATGTTGATGTGTGTATGTTGATGTGTGTATGTTGATGTATGTATGTTGATGTGTGTATGTTGATGTGTTTATGTTGATGTATGTATGTTGATGTGTGTATGTTGATGTGTGTATGTTGATGTGTTTATGTTGATGTATGTATGTTGATGTGTGTATGTTGATGTATGTATGTTGATGTATGTATGTTGATGTGTGTATGTTGATGTATGTATGTTGATGTGTGTATGTTGATGTGTGTATGTTGATGTGTGTATGTTGATGTATGTATGTTGATGTATGTATGTTGATGTGTGTATGTTGATGTGTGTATGTTGATGTGTGTATGTTGATGTGTGTATGTTGATGTGTGTATGTTGATGTATGTATGGTGATGTGTGTATGTTGATGTATGTTGATGTGTGTATGTTGATGTATGTATGTTTATGTATGTATGTTGATGTATGTATGTTGATGTATGTATGTTGATGTGTGTATGTTGATGTATGTATGTTGATGTGTGTATGTTGATGTATGTATGTTGATGTGTGTATGTTGATGTATGTATGTTGATGTGTGTATGTTGATGTATGTATGTTGATGTATGTTGATGTATGTATGTTGATGTGTGTATGTTGATGTGTGTATGTTGATGTGTGTATGTTGATGTATGTATGTTGATGTGTGTATGTTGATGTATGTATGTTGATGTATGTATGTTGATGTATGTATGTTGATGTATATATGTTGAGCTTATTTCGCACCGTACGTAGCCAACCATGCTAATCGGAGGCGCGTGGGAATTTCAGTGAGACGAGAGGACTCGTTGGGGCAGGATGATGCGAGGACACGCGCGGGTGTGGTTCAGGACAAGCGCAGCGGTGGTTGTTGAGAGAAGTTTGGCAGGACGTGACGTGGGCACACGGGACAGACAATAGTGCCCGGGTGGTCGAGACCCACCGCGGAGTGGCAGCCCAAGGAGGCGAAACACCACCTTAGGAGGACGGCCACGGCGGAGATGGAGGGATGAGGAAAAGGGCTTCTTGTGGGTGGCCTTCATCCAGCAGTTGATAGATCATGGCTGGTGCTGCTGCTGATGATGACGTAACGACGGAGGCCTCTGCGTGAGGCACGGCACGAGCCTCGTGATGATTCCGTGAGCTACGTTGGAGCGATATCGGTCAAATATTTGGCACCTAATGGGGCATGAGTTTGACAAGCGGGAAGTTCCAGACCTTGGGTGCAACAGAGGAGAGTGAGCGACCCCCCTACCACCACACTCAGTGGTTGGGAAAACAGACGTGAAACCCGCGCGTTCACAGACTCGACCTACTGCGCAGCCATCCTCACAACCGCTTGTTAAAACTTTCCCCCACGGTTCACACGGGGCTCACGTGAATATTTAGGCGCTGTGCATTTCCAGACGGTTTCACGTAAAGTCCTGTGATCTTTCTGATTCACGATTAAAATTTGCGGCCAGCCCACTTGCAGCGGAGATGAGAGGAGAGACGGATGCACAAGCCAGACGCGTAGTCGGGTGAGAGAGAGGTGCTGAGCAGACAGCGACGACCTGGTGGAGAGTAATTGGCTTTGCTTCTGTTAATGAGTTCGTTATGGTTACGGACGATCTGAATTCAAACGCAGAGTCAATGCACCCCCGGATTATTCATGACACCCCTTGAGCCGCTTGGGATTTCACGCTTTTGCTTGGTTTGCTTCTGTCCATCCCCTCCCCTCCAGGCAACATCCATCCAGTCAGCACCACCACCACCACCACCACCTCGTCCTCCTCGTCCGCGCCACACCGCGACGCAGCCATGTCCAAGTCGGCTGACCGCACCTCTACGTTCGACCCCACGCACAGCGACAGCGTCCTGAGCGGTCTCAACCTCCTGTGGCGGCGGCAGATCATGTGTGACGTCACGCTGCTGGCCCACGGGCAGGAGTTCCGCTGCCACAAGGCCGTGCTGGCCTCGTGCTCTCAGTATTTCCGCGCGCTCTTCGAAAACGGCCTCCACCGGCCCTCGGACCCCTTCTCCACGCCGGGTCGCGGTGGAGGTGGAGGAGGTGGTGGTGGTGGTGGCGGCGGCGGTGGCGGTGGTGTCGCCGGACTTAGCAGCAGCGGCAGTGGCAGCGTGAGCGGAGCTTCGTCTCCGCATGACTGCAAGGATAAGGTGACGCCACATGGCTCGCCATCGTCCGAAGGTCGATGTGGCGGTGGCGGCGGTGGCGGCGGCGGCGGCGGTGGTGGCGGTGGTGGCGGTGGTGGTGGTGCAATTAACGCAGCGGCAGCAGCCGCAGCGGCAGCAGCAGCGGCGGCGTCGGCCAAGTCGGGCCTCATCGCGAGCGTGGTGCTGCAGGGATGTCCGTCCGGAGGCTTGGCGCTGGTGCTGGAGTACATCTACACGGCCAACATGACGCTGTCGCTCGACACTGTGGAGGAGGTGCTCGTGGCAGGGAAGCAGCTGCACATGCCCTCGGTCACAAAGCTGTGCGCGCAGTTCCTCAACGGGCAGATATCGGTGCAGAACTACAAGCAGGTGAGAGCACTGAGAGGGCTCGTCCCGACGTCGGTGGCACCGTGATTCGGCGATGACAAAGTCGCGTAAACTGGGCGACGAGCTCTTGGTCGGAGGCGACCTGGCCACGCGTGATGATAGCTCACCATCGAAGGGGCTGATATCACCATCACCACGCGTGATGATAGCTCACCATCGAAGGGGCTGATATCACCATCACCACTCGTGGTGATAGCTCACCATCGAAGGGGCTGATATCACCATCACCACTCGTGGTGATAGCTCACCATCGAAGGGGCTGATATCACCATCACCATGCGTGATGATAGCTCACCATCGAAGGGGCTGATATCACCATTACCATCACCACTCGTGATAATAGCTCACCATCACCATCACCACGCGTGATGATAGCTCACCATTGAAGAGGCTGATATCACCATCACCATCACCACGCGTGATGATAGCTCACCATCGAAGGGGCTGATATCACCATCACCATCACCACTCGTGATAATAGCTCACCATCACCATCACCACGCGTGATGATAGCTCACCATTGAAGGGGCTGATATCACCATCACCACGCGTGATGATAGCTCACCATCGAAGGGGCTGATATCACCATCACCATCACCACGCATGATTATAGCTCACCATCGAAGGGGCTGATATCACCATCACCACGCGTGATGATAGCTCACCATCGAAGGGGCTGATATCTCCATCACCACTCGTGATGATAGCTCACCATCGAAGGGGCTGATATCACCATCACCACGCGTGATGATAGCTCACCATCGAAGGGGCTGATATCATCACCATCACCAATCGTGATGATAGTTCACCATCAAAGTGGCGTATAACATCATCATAATCACACGTGGGAATAATGTATAGCTGTTGCCAACTAATTTAAACGCGTGTTGTTTATACATGTGAAGGAGGAAGGGGCAATACCGGAGGAACCCGGAGGAATAATCTCCGCCACCACCACGGGGAGAGAGAGCGAACACGCGGAAACCAAATATACAACAGGCGTCACCAGGCCGCGGGATCGAACTCATGGTTTCCTGTGCACAAGCACAGCTAACGACAACACCCTGTGTGTGTGTGTGGCCTGAAACGGAACAGTGTACAGGAGGCAACGTTTCAGGCAATGGCCCTTTAGCGTAGCACATACATAGAGAGGCAAAGAGAAAGAGGGAGGGAGAGTGGTTGATGATAGTGAATACTGCGCTTGTTGATTTGCATTTTTTTAAAAAAATCCCGATTAAAAGTTCTGAAATTGGCGTGCGAATAAGTATCCATTAGTTACCAATAATTATAGAATACTGAGTTCAATTGGACTAACGATCGTTATGATGACGATTACGGCATTTGTCTATTCAGGGACGGAGTGGTGGTGCAGTGCTTAGCGTAGTCCGCTAGAAAACCCGGCTCGTGAGTTTTATTTCCAACCACGGCCAAAATCAGTGGTGGGCCTTACAAGGAAACACAAATACTAGGCGACGTTTCGGGCAATGTCCCTTCTGCACAGCACGTACTGCTTGCCGACTTAGTCCTGTCTCACCGGACTCATTGAAGGGGAAGTCACACGGCAGTGGCTTCTGCCTGGATGTACGTGCCCCCTGTCATAGTAACGTGGAATTCGTCACAACAGACGACGAGTCAACGCGCGTTGCAGGACAAAATCCCCCTTCTTCGAAGCACGTAACAACAATGTTTTAGATTTTGTAAACATTTACAGGGCGGCCCAAAAGTCAGGACACAGAGGGTTATTTCATTTATTCGAACACTGGCGTGAATACATTTAATTATGTATTCTTTAAGTTAATATTGTTTCGACTATTTTCATTCTTAATATCTCCTTTTCTTCACATCCATCGTTTTTACAAAACCTGACCAAGAAAGCCCTGTGAATGAATTAAGACATTAACACAAAACGGACGACGGTTCATAGATTAGACCCGCAAACTTAAAATAAGTTCCGAAATGAATTTCCAAAGATAATCCATGCATGAGTGAATGTTCATGGAAGTGAGTTCGAAAATTTGCTACAATAAATGAACTAACCCTAGGTGATTTGTTAAAATAAATATAGTAACCCTATGTGTCCTGACTTTTGGGCCACTCTGTATAACAATAATCCTATGTGTCCTAACTTTTGGGCCACCCTGTATAACAATAACCCCACGTGTCCTAACTTTTGGGCCACCCTGTATAATGAAATAAACAGCCGACAACGTCGAACGACCCACGTTGACCTGCTGCTGCCTGCTGCTGCTGGCTGCTGCCTGCTGCTGCTGGCTGCTGCCTGCTGCTGCTGCTGGCTGCTGCTGCTGGCTGCTGGCTGCTGTTGGCTGCTGCTGCTGGCTGCTGCTGGCTGCTGCCGCTGCTGCTGCTGCTGTTGGTTGCTGCTGCTGGCTGCTGCTGGCTGCTGCTGGCTGCTGCTGCTGGCTGCTGCTGGCTGCTGCCGCTGCTGCTGCTGCTGTTGGTTGCTGCTGCTGGCTGCTGCTGGCTGCTGCTGGCTGCTGCTGGCTGCTGCTGCTGGCTGCCTGCTGCTGCTGTTGCTGCTGCTGCTGGCTGCTGCTGCTGCTGGCTGCTGCCTGCTGCTGCTGGCTGCTGCTGGCTGCCGCTGTTGCTGCTGCTGCTGGCTGCCACTGCTGGCTGCTGCCGCTGCTGCTGTTGGTTGCTGCTGCTGCTGCTGCCCACAGGTGAGCCGCATTGCCGCGGCGCACGACCTGGACGAGACGCGCAAACTCGCGAACCGCTACTTCGTGGAGGACGTCCTGGCGCTGGGCTTCGGCGAGGTGTGCGCAGTGCTCGATGGGCCCCCGCCGCCCGTCGAGTCGGAGCTGGCGCTCTTCCAGATGGCCGTCATGTGGCTCGAGCACGAGCGCGAGAGTCGCATGCGGAGAGCCCCCGAGCTGATGCGCCGCCTGCGCTTTGCCCTCATCCCGGCGCACGACCTCGTCGAGCACGTGCAGAGCGTCGACTTCATGCGCTCCGAGCCCGCGTGCCAGAAGATGCTGCTCGACGCCATGAACTACCACCTGATGCCCTTCCGGCAGCACTGCATGCAGAGCGAGGCGAGCAGGTGGGCGGGTGGGAGAGCGGCCGGTGGTTGGCGGTGGTTAGCGGTGGGTGGTGGTGGGTGGTGGTGGGTGGTGGTTGGTGGTGGTTGGTGGTGGTTGTGGTTGGTGGTGGTTGGTGGTGGTGGTTGGTGGTTGGTGGTGGTTGGTGGTGGTTGTGGTTGGTGGTGGCGGTGGTTGGCGGTGGTTAGCGATGGGTGGTGGGTGGTGGTTGTGGTTGGTGGTGGTTGATGGTGTTGGTGGTGGTTGGTGGTGTAGGTGATGGTTGGTGGTGGTGGGTGGTGGTGGGTGGTGGTGGTTGGTGGTGGTAGGTGGTGGTGGTTGGTGGTTGGTGGTGGTGGGTGGTGGTGGTGGTTGGTGGTGGTGGATGGTGGTGGGTGGTGATGGTTGGTGGTTGGTGGTGGGTGGTGGGTGGTGGTGGTTGGTGGTGGTGGGTGGTGGTGGGTGGTGGTGGTTGGTGGTGGTTGTGGTTGGTGGTGGTTGGTGGTTGGCGGTGGTTGGCGGTGGTTGGTGGTGATTGTGGTCATGGGGAGCGGTGGTGTAGCGGTTTGCGCGCTGCGTTACGATCCCAGCGAGCCGAGTTCGATTCCCGCTCACTGCCAACACCAGTGACGATTTTATTTTATTCATCCGGTGCTGGGCCTCTCTCCTAGATCGACTCAACCTCAAATGAGTACCGCCACTCGGAAGTCAAAGGCGGTCGGGCGTGGTGCTGGTCACGCACCCCTTCGTATACCGTGCCGACCTTCATAGCTCCTGGCGAACAACACTTTCCACAACTGTCTGTGAAGGCTATACGGGGGATATTTGTCTTGAATGATGGTGGTGATGGTGAAAGTTTTGAGGGTGCTGTTATGAGAATTATGATCACGTTATGATGAGATAATGATGAGTATTTTAATGGTGGTGGTGGTGGTGGTGGTGATGAAGATGTTCATGATTCTATCGTAAGAATAATGATGATGATATAATCGAGCGTGATGATAATGATGGTGATTGAGAGTGCTGTGGTAAACACCACAATCAAAATCATCATCGTTACCGCAGCCAGTATCTTCTGAAGAACGACATTCAACCGATCTCATCCACTTGATCTCATTCAATAGTAGAATGTCATTCGCCTCATCCTTCCCACACGATCTCATTCATTGATCTCATCCACCCGGTGGCTAGGAGATGTTAACTCCCTCGCCTGGTGCACAGGAGGTCGTGGGTTCGATACCGACCCTGACGCCTGCTGCTGTGTGAGTGCCTCTCTCCCCGTGGTCGAATATTTTTTTCTTATGGTCCTCCGGGTTTCGCCCTCCATTTAGAATCACCGTGCGTCTCGAGTATTTGACTTCTCTAGATTTCCACACAAGCCACTTTGGAAAGCTTCAGTGAGGGCCTTACCTGGTAAAATAAAAATAGTCGTAGTATAGTCTCATAGTTTTCATTCATTGACCTCATCCCCTCTGATTCATTGATCTCATTCACTAGAATCAACTTCACCTGATCTCATGATTGGCCCGGGGGGGTCCGCGTGTCCCCTTCGCCACCGCCCCGACCCCACGCAGGATACGAGGCACTAGGAAGTCTCTGCTTCTGCTGGGGGGGCTCCCCCCGGGACCCGACCGCCTGCCCAGCAACCTCGTGCAGTTCTACGACGACTCGCGCAAGACGTGGAAGATCCTGACCGGTGAGCGCATGGGTTCACACCCCACGGGGGCAGGTGCCGTTAGCGAGCAGCACCTATGAAGGCCGGCACGAACACACGAGGGGGTGGGTGGCCAGCACCACGCCCGGTCGCCCTTTGTCCCACCGGTGCAGATGTTTTACACACTGCACACAGGTACTCAAATGAGTACCTGTGTGCAGGTACTCAAATGAGTTGTTGGCCGTAGAGCGGGAGTCGAACTCGGGTGGCCGGGTTCGTAGCCAAGCGTGCTAACCACTGCGCACCTCCCTCACACAGACTCACACTTACACACTCTCTCAGATACACTCTCTCAGACACACACACTCTCAGACACACACACTCTCAGACACACACACTCTCAGACACACACACTCTCAGACACACACACTCTCAGACACACACACTCTCAGACACACACACTCTCAGACACACACACTCTCAGACACACACACTCTCAGACACACACACTCTCAGACACACACACTCTCAGACACACACACTCTCAGACACACACACTCTCAGACACACACACTCTCAGACACACACACTCTCAGACACACACACTCTCAGACACACACACTCTCAGACACACACACTCTCAGACACACACACTCTCAGACACACACACTCTCAGACACACACACTCTCAGACACACACACTCTCAGACACACACACTCTCAGACACACACACTCTCAGACACACACACTCTCAGACACACACACTCTCAGACACACACACTCTCAGACACACACACTCTCAGACACACACACTCTCAGACACACACACTCTCAGACACACACACTCTCAGACACACACACTCTCAGACACACACACTCTCAGACACACACACTCTCAGACACACACACTCTCAGACACACACACTCTCAGACACACACACTCTCAGACACACACACTCTCAGACACACACACTCTCAGACACACACACTCTCAGACACACACACTCTCAGACACACACACTCTCAGACACACACACTCTCAGACACACACACTCTCAGACACACACACTCTCAGACACACACACTCTCAGACACACACACTCTCAGACACACACACTCTCAGACACACACACTCTCAGACACACACACTCTCAGACACACACACTCTCAGACACACACACTCTCAGACACACACACTCTCAGACACACACACTCTCAGACACACACACTCTCAGACACACACACTCTCAGACACACACACTCTCAGACACACACACTCTCAGACACACACACTCTCAGACACACACACTCTCAGACACACACACTCTCAGACACACACACTCTCAGACACACACACTCTCAGACACACACACTCTCAGACACACACACTCTCAGACACACACACTCTCAGACACACACACTCTCAGACACACACACTCTCAGACACACACACTCTCAGACACACACACTCTCAGACACACACACTCTCAGACACACACACTCTCAGACACACACACTCTCAGACACACACACTCTCAGACACACACACTCTCAGACACACACACTCTCAGACACACACACTCTCAGACACACACACTCTCAGACACACACACTCTCAGACACACACACTCTCAGACACACACACTCTCAGACACACACACTCTCAGACACACACACTCTCAGACACACACACTCTCAGACACACACACTCTCAGACACACACACTCTCAGACACACACACTCTCAGACACACACACTCTCAGACACACACACTCTCAGACACACACACTCTCAGACACACACACTCTCAGACACACACACTCTCAGACACACACACTCTCAGATACACACACTCTCAGATACACACAATATAAATAGATCCCCCATATAGCCTTAACAGACTGTAGAGACAAGTGCTGTTAGCGAGCACCTATAAAGGCAGGAACGGTACACGAGGGGGTGGGTGGCCAGCACCACGCCCGACCGCCTTTTTCTCCCCAGTGGCGATGTTAACACACCGCACCAGGTACTCATTTGAGGCTGAATCGACCTAGGGGAGGCCCAGGACCAGTTGAGAAAATCGTCACTGGTGTTGGCCGTGAGCGGGAATCGAACCCGGGTCGCCAGGTTCGTAGCGCAGCGCGCTAACCGCTACACTACCGCTCCCCACTTACACACACACTCTCTCACACACACTCTCACACACACACTCACACACACACTTTCACTCTCACACACACACTTTCACTCTCACGCACACACTTTCACTCTCACACACACACTTTCACTCTCACACACACTCATACACTCACACACTCTCGCATACACACTCACACACACACTCACACACTCTCACACACACTCATACACACACACTTTCACTCTCACACACACTCACACACACTCACACATACACTCACACACTCACACACTCTCACACACACACTCACACACTCATACACACACTTTCACTCTCACACACACTCACACACTCTCACACACTCACACACACACTTTCACTCTCACACACATTCTCGCTAAGCGTGCGGGACGACAGGTGGAGCCCATCTGTGGTTGAGTCAGCGCGAGGAGGAGCAGTGAGAAGCACACACAGACACACACGTAGACACACACGTAGACACACGTGTACACACACGTAGACACAGAACGTGTACACACAACGTGTACACACACACGTAGACACACACGTAGACACACACACGTAGACACACTCAGAGACACACACACACACAGACACACGTAGACACACAACGTGTACACACGTAGACACACAACCCCAACACTCCCCACACTCCCAACACCCCCCCCCCCCCCCCCACACACACGCTTAGGCCACGAGACGCGCGTTCATCTTCCGGCACAGCCATCCTCGATCCCACATCATCATCATCAGCAGTATCAGCAGCATCAGTATCATCAGCAGTATCATCATAATCAGTATTATCATCAGCAGCAGCAGTATCAGCAGCATCATCAGCAGTATCATCATCATAATCAGTATCATCATCAGCAGTATCATCATCAGTATCATCAGCAGCAGTATCAGCAGCATCATCATAATCAGTATTATCATCAGCAGCAGTATCAGCAGCAGCATCATCAGCAGTATCATCATCATAATCAGTATCATCATCAGCAGTATCATCATCAGTATCATCATCAGCAGTATCAGCAGCATCATCAACAGCAGTATCATCATCATCAGTATCATCAACAGCAGCAGTATGAGCATCATCATCAGCAGTATCATCATCATCAGTATCATCATCATCAGTAGCAGCAGTAGCAGCAGCATCATCTTCTAACCTGCTTTATGATCACTGCAGCAGCAAATAACATATCATCAGCAACTGCAGTACCTATCAATATGATCACTTATTTATCACCATTATCATCAGTGTCACTGCTTTACCTGCTATACCATTACTTATTTATACCATTATCATCATAATCATCAGGGACATTCATTATCATCATCATTATCATCATAATCTCTGGTTCATGTGTTCCTTTTTCATAATCAGTCAAAAGAAACTGAATCATAACCGTTACACATTCATTTTCTATCACATTATTATCTTCGCCATCTTCACCACCACCATCATCATCAGAGGCAAACAATGATGATGATGAAATAATAATCATGATGACGATCATAAATAATACAATCAACTGGAATCACCCACAGAAGCAATCGTCTCCCTCGAGTGGAACGACTGACGGCCACGTGCTGGTGTCGCCTCGTGCCGCACAGGGACAGCTGCCACTGGGGGTGCCCCTTTCAACATTACCGCGAATAGCTGGTACATGATGTATAATTATAATATTAAATCATAATTTTAATAGTTGAGTAGAAGGATGATATGAATTGAACTAAAAATATAGAGTTACCGTATGTTGATCGTTTCATATCATCCCACCCATGTTTATGATGATGCTGGACATTTAAATTATGATTATGATTGAACATGATCATGACAATAACAATCGGTTTAACGAAATCATATAATCATCACAATGATGATGATGATGGCTTAGCGAGTCATTGTTTTTAATGGGCTCACAATGGCTTACTCTTGCGAACAAAGATGTCACACGATCATTGAACAAGAGAGAGACACACACAGAGACAAACGCACAGACACAGTGAGACACACAGACAAAAACACAGAGAGAGAGAGACGTACAGAGACGCCCACACAGACAAAGAGAGAGACAAAAAAACACAGACAGACGGAGAGAAGCAAACATGTATGCAGACACACAGACACATAGAGACACACAAAGACAGACACAAAGAGACACAGACACACACACAGAGACACAGAGAGACACACACAAAACAAAGACACACACACAGACACAGAGAGACACACAAAAACAGACACAAAGAGACACAGACACACACATAGACACAGAGAGACACACAAAACAAAGACACACACACAGACACAGAGAGACACACAAAGACAGACACAAAGAGACACAGACACACACACAGACATGGAGAGACACACACAAAACAAAGACACACACACATGGAGACGAAGAGACACACAAAGACAGACACAAAGAGACACAGACACACAGAGACAGAGAGTGGGACACACATAGAAGCTCTCTCTCTCTCTCTTCCTCCATGCATCTTTAATATTAAAGACTAATGAACTTTGCGAGATAGGGCAATTAACTATGCGCGGCTACGGAGGCATCTGGGTGAAACTAATGAATGACTTTGGGGGGCGGCGGTGCATAATGCAGCACGTTAATGTGGCGGGGCTGCACAGGAACCGCTCTGGCAGGCGGTGTCATTAAGTGGGGGCGGGGGGGCTTTGCAAAATCCGCCCCAATAGTCCTTTACAACACCTCCCCCCGCCCCCCACAATCCCCCCATAACCCCCCCCCCCGCCACGCAAAGCCGCACCTCCAACCACCCACCTCATAAATCGCCCCCCCCCCCCACGTCCCCCCACCAAGAGTCGTCCCGCTTCTCCATCCCCCGAACTCTGAAATCCACTCTCAATCACGTGACTCTGCAGCGCCTGACTCTCTGTCCATCCCATGACTTTCAAATCCCCGCGCCTCTCCAATCCCCGTGACTCCCCGATCCTCTACCCCATGCCTCTCCATCCCATGCCTCTCCAATCCATTACTCTCCAGTCCCCGTGACTCTCCAATCCCCGTGACTCCCCTATCCTCTACCCCATGCCTCTTCACGGCGTGACTCTTTCTCCATCCCATGCCTCTCCATCCCATGGACTTTCAAATCCCCGTGACTCTCCAATCCCTTCTCTGTCCCCGTGATCCTCGATGTCCCCTAACTCTCCAATCTCCGCTTGGCCCTCCTCTCACTGTCCCACTTTCTCCCCGCTCTCCCTTCGCTCTCTCTCTCTCGTGTTGTGAGAGTGCGCGGGGACACGCGGAGACGATAGACACGAGCACAGTATAGACACGTGGACACAAAGACACCCCGGGTATCCGTGACTTCTCTATGTGAAGTGCTGTTAGCGTGTAGCGCCTATGACGGTCGGCTGAGCGCACGAGGGGCTGGGTGGCCAACATCAACCAAGCCCGGCCGCCTTTGTCTTCCCAACGCTGATGGTAACACACCGCAGCAGGTATAATTTAAGGCTGAGTCGACCTAGTGGGGTACTTGTTCAAATATTATTATCGAGTTGAAAGGGTGGGGCGGTGGTGCAGTACATTGCACTGCGCAATGAAGCCGGCAACCTGAGTTCGGTTCCCGGCCACGTCTTCTCACATTGGTGGCGAGAACGGCCGTGTGGCCAATGAAGAACTCATGGGAGCCTCTGAGCTGCGTAGACCTGCGCGGTACTCTCCGCCTGGTTCGAACCGTCTCGTTGGGACTGCCCGCCTCAGAATCGGGAGGGAGGGAGGGAGGCGGTGGGATGGAACAAGGGTGGGAGGTGGTGGGATGAAAGGGGGAGGGAGGCGGTGGGATGGAACAAGGGAGGGAGGCGGTGGGATGGAAGCGGGGAGGGCAGTGCGGGAGTGTTCGGAACGGCGCCAATGGAGCATCACTCACCCCCCCCCCCTCCACAACCCCGCCCCTCACCCCCACCCCATCTTTCTCCACCATTCGCCCCTTGCTTCCCTCCTTCCTCCCTCCCCCACCACCTCCCCCTGCCCCCCCGCAAAGTTAGGGTCTCGCGCCGATGAGCTCATTACGCATGCGCGGCGCGCGCGCGCGTGCACGCGGAGCGGGTCTGGTGTAGTCACGTGCAACACAATGCGTTACCAACACCCGGCGCCTGTACACGCGTGTACGCACAAAGATCCCCCGTATAGCCTTGAGAGGCTGTTGGGGGCAAGTGCTGTTAGCGAGTAGCAGTCGCCTATGAAGACCGGCACGGCACACGAGCGGGTGGGTTGCCAGCACCACTCCCGGCCGCCGCCTTCGTATCCCGAGGGGAGATGTTTGCACGTCGCATCGGGTTCACATTTGTGGCCGAGTCAACCGAAAGGAGGCCCAGGGTTGGTTCAGATAATTGCCGCTCGTGTTGGTGGCTGTGAGCGGGAATAGAACTCCGTTCGCCGGGGGTTTGGATCACAGCGGCGCGAACCGCTACGCGACCGCTCCCCCCGCATCTGGGTTTTTATTTTACGATGTTTTCAGCCACTTAATGGTGAGGAAAACGGAGCTCCCGGAGACACCCCACGCACGCGCGACGGGACACCACCACTCTACCCCCGTATAGATGGGAACAGATCGCGATTAGTCCACACTTTGCTGTACCGTCTTCTCCTGGTAAGTCAGGTGTACGGCTCTTCTTCGACGCCCACGGGAAGGGAGTTTCACGACATCTGTGCGGTGATCCACCAACCCCCGCCGATGCCTGCACACGGTGCTGGGTTAGAGGCAGCCGCGTGCAGCAGCGTAGCCAGCACCGTCAATCCACTGCTGGATGAGGCGTTCGGCGACGCGGCGAGTCACTGGGATGGTCGATTTGACCGCCGGTTTTCAGCACCCCGGACAGCGCTGCTTGGCGAAGATTGAGATGCATTGCTAGGTCCACTTCCAACACTCCCGGGAGCATAGACGCACAGTACAGTACAACAATGTGTGTGTGTTTCCCCCATCTGCCCTGCCCTCTGCTGCCCGTAACGTAGCCTCCTGGCAGCTTGACTGACTCTTGTTCAGCGCCAATGTTTCGTAGATCCAAGCGCTATCCAGGCTCAAAAAGCCTGCTGAGCTTCTTCAGAGGATCTGACGGCTCATGCCGAGTAACGTTGGTGCTCGGCACCATGAGATATATGGTGTCCTGGTGTCCATAGGCAACGTGGGGTGGGGGGGGGGTGGCGTGAGGGGCGGTGCGCTAACCACTGCGCCACCGCTCCATCCTCAACAGCATCGAGCTGGGGGACCAACCAATTGCATTGCTAATGCAGCAGCGGATGTCACAAGGCTGGTGAATCCACGACACGATGGTTCCTGTTACCGATCGGAACTCTGCTCGCGTCCCGCCCGCCCCGTGTCCACGCGCCAATGCCCCCGCCCCCGCCCGACCGTTCCCCTTGACCCCTGGCCCCCGTGTCACGCAGGGATGCCCTACAACAGCGCGCACCACTGCGTGGTGGAGGTGGAGAACTTCCTCTTCGTTCTCGGCGGAGAGGATCGCTGGAACCCGGATGGTGAGCCTCGACTCACCCGCGTACTCAACCCTGCACATTCACTCGCCCAGTGATTGACTCACCCACAGACAGCGAGCGACCGACTTACTCTCCAGCTCGCCCAACCTCTCAGCGATCGACTTACCCACTAGCTCGCTCACTCGCCAAGTCACTCGCTCACTCACTCAGCGATCAGCTCACTCACCCATTCAACTAGCGACCGACTCACTAACCCAGCCAGCGAAAGACTCGTGGACTTACCTATTCACTCACATAGCAATAGACTCTATCGCCCATACAGCGATCGACTCGCTCACTCACTCACCCACTCGCTCACCCAGTCACTCGCTCACGCACTCACCCACTCACTCGCCTGGCAAGCGATCCGAATTGTAACAAGTCGAATCAGGAATCGATTTTGTTTATCTTCTTGTCCAGTGTTTACTGTGTTGTTACCTGCATGGAAACAACAACAGTAACAACAGCCGCCATTCACTACTAAGTGGCGTCGACGTCACCAGGGCGCGTTTGCCAGGCTAGGTGCACTCTGGGGCCACGTGAAGCGTGTCGCAGGCTCGCGGGCAGGAGGTCACGGGAAGCGCTGAAGGCCGGAAGGGCGCCCGAGGAGGTGGCGTGGCCAGCGACAGCCACACACGCGACCACTCCGCTTCAACTCTGCTCCGACTCATCCTCCCCGACTCTCCGTTCACTGACCCCTCCCCCGACGTCTCCCCACCCCTTCCCCCCGCCCCTCCCCCCACCCCTCTCGGACTCCCCTGTTTGGTGGTGCTGCTGCGTTGGCAATGGCGCACGAACAAATAACAACAACAACAACAACTCAACGCGTTCCTTCACAACACTGCGCGCATGTGAGCGGCCTTACGAGCAAACGCATATGACGGGCGACGTTTCGGGCAATGGCCCTCCCTTGTGTAGCGCACACAGCAACATAGAGAGAGAGAGAGACAGAGATCAGAGCGATGGAGCTAACGCGCTATGCAGCGATGCAGAGGCGCATCGCGGCGGTGATAACGCGCAACCATAACGGACGTCGCTGAGCTGGAAAGGCGCTGACCGCAGCGAAACGCCACGCCACGTGCGTTGGCGACAGGGCGCCTGTGCCCCACAACCCCCAGCCCCTAATGGGCAGAGCCGCATCCAGGAAGGGGGTGAGGGGATAGGCGGGAGAGGGAGCGTATTTAGGGGACCACAATTTCCGGGACGGGGCGTGGCAAGGAAAGTGTCAAATGGCTCAGTTGGGATTTCTGTACCCACAGCGGCGATCTTCGCCCCTCGTACTGGCAGACGGATGCCGACCTCCAGTTCACGCGCGCCCAGTTCACGCGCGCCGCACAGGGGCGGCTGCCACCGCGGTGCCCTTTCAAATGTTTGCGATGAGATGCGAGGCGTTTTTTTTAGGTGCGTGGACTGAGTGGCGGTGGATCGTTGTTGCTGCTCTTGTTGTTACGCCACTGAGAGGAACCGGGACTTTTAATGTTCCCCGCAAGACTGACAGATTTTTCCAGGGCAGCAGCTGCTCCCTCAATTAGAGAACAATCCTGGGAAAGCCGGGACAGGTGGAGACCAATTTTGGGAGGAGGAGGAGGAGCTTCCCACCTCCAGCCTCCCTCGCCACCCCCCCTCCGCCCCCGCTTGTAATCCAGCGAGGGTTGGTCGATCACCACAGCACCATACCCTGGCACCATACCCTGGCACCATACCCTGGCACCATACCCTGGCACCATACCCTGGTACCATACCCTGGCACCATACCCTGGCACCATACCCTGGCACCATACCCTGACCCTAACCCTGGCACCATACCCTGGCACCATACCCTGGCACCATACCCTGGCACCATACCCTGGCACCATACCCTGGCACCATACCCTGGCACCATACCCTGGCACCATACCCTGGCACCATACCCTGGCACGCCAAGAGATGGCGGCGCAGCAACGTGTGGGCCAATCTCCGCCTGTCACCATCCCGACGTGATCGAGTATTGCTCCCTCGCATGCGCACGCGTTTTTTCTCTGGGTGCACCGGCTTCCTCCAACTTAATAATCGCGCGCTAATTGCTCAACATATCCTAATATGAACAGAATAGATGATTACATGCGGGGCCCTCCATCCCGGGTGAACGAGTTCGTGTTTATGACTATTGTGGCTTCCCACGTGGTTAAATTAACTTTGTGTTGCCGCAGGAAAGCACAGCACCAACTTTGTGAGTCGCTACGACCCGCGGTTCAACACGTGGGTGCAACTTCCTCCCATGCAGGAGAGGTGAGTGGGGGTGGCACGCGAGGGGAGGGGGGCAGAGGTGTGGAAGCGAACGGGGGAGGTTCGGGCCCCTCTGCTACCTAACCCCGACCCTGACCCTAACCCTGACCCTAACCCTGACCCTATCCCTAACCCTGACCCTATCCCTAACCCTGACCCTATTCCTAACCCTGACCCTATCCCTAACCCTGACCCTATCCCTATCCCTAACCCTGACCCTATCCCTAACCCTGACCCTATCCCTAACCCTGATCCTATTCCTAACCCTGACCCTATCCCTAACCCTGACCCTGACACTAACCCTGACCCTGACTCTGACACTGACCCTATCCCTAACCCTAACCCTGACACTGACCCAATCCCTAACCCTATCCCTAACCCTGACTCTATCCCTAACCCTGACCCTATCCCTAACCCTAACCCTGACCCTATCCCTAAGCCTAACCCTGACCCTGACCCTATCCCTAACCCTGACCATGACCCTGACCCTAACCCTAACCCTGACCCTATCCCTATCCCTAACCCTGACCCTATCCCTAACCCTGACCCTAACCCTGACCCTATCCCTAACCCTGACCCTATCCCTAACCCTGACCCTATCCCTAACCCTGACCCTATCCCTAACCCTGACCCTATCTCTAACCCTGACCCTAACCCTGACCCTATCCCTAACCACGACCCTATCCCTAACCCTGACCCTATCCCTAACCCTGACCCTGACTCTATCTCTAACCCTAACCCTGACCCTAACCCTGACCGTATCCCTAACCCCGACCCTATCCCTAACCTTGACCCTATCCCTAACCGTGACCCTATCCCTAACCCTGACCCTATCCCTAACCCTAACCCTATCCCTAACCCTGACCCTAACCCTGACCCTATCCCTGACCCTATCCCTAACCCTGACTCTATCCCTAAGTCGATTTGCTAGGACAAAACGCAGACCAGTCCAGGCCCCGCTGTCTGTAAAGGTTGTATATCGTGATATATTGATGTAGTTAAGAGACAAATGGTGGGAGAGGGGGAAGTAACAGTTTGGAAAATTCACGGCGCAGAAGAAAAATAATAAATAAATAATGCCCTTTCAATATATTAACGACGCTGAAATGGCGAACGAACCGGAGTTCTAAACGGGAACAGATTTTTGCGTCGTTATTGACGAAAAAATGGGAAAAGGGAGTGCAGGAGAGGAAAGAAAAGAGGAGGAGAGGAGAGAGGAGAGGGGAGAGGTGAGGGGAGAGGAGAGGAGAGGGGAGGGGAGAGGAGAGGGGAGGGGAGAGGAGAGGGGAGAGGTGAGGAGAGGGGAGGAGATGGCAGGAAGGAGAGGGGAGAGGGGAGAGGAGAGGGAAGGGGATGAGAGCGCAGGGGAGGAGAGGGGAGACAGAGGATCTGGGCAAAAAAACCAGGGAAATGTATATTTTACAAATCAGCGATCGCAGACAAATAAATCAGATCGCGGCGCGTGGATTGCGCGGGTAATTGAAATCGATGAGGGCTCCGCGCTGGCCCGGGCACGGCCCGCGCTGCGCGTCTGATTTAGGAGTCCTCGCGATATTTGCACGAACGTCGCCGCTTAAACCCGGAGCCGAACCCAGCCGCCCGAGTTGTGATGCTGCTGCACTCGGATGAGCCACGCAGCAGGGAGGGAGGCTCGGAGCGCTGAGCTGTGGCACCGCTGAGGATCTGAGTTCGAATTCAGGTTTCAGCCGTCGGTGAAGGAACTAAAATGATCTGGTGCAGTGAGTTGATGGTCTCAGCCCTAGCCGTGAATGATTCACGCAGATACCCAGAGACTCTCATAGACACATAGAGACTGACATAGACACCCAGAGACTCACATAGACACCCAGAGATTCACATAGACACCCAGAGATTCACATAGACAAGCAGAGACTCACACAAACACGCAGAGACTCACATAGATACCCAGAGATTATCATAGAGACGCAGAGACTCAACAACAACAACCGCCATTCGACATAAAGTGGCGGTGACGTCACCACGACGCTTGTGCCAGGCCATGTGCACCTTGAGGCCACGTGAAGTGTCGAACGCCCGCTGGCAGGAGGTCACGGGGCAGACCGAGGTGCCACGGGTCGACTGACTGAGATGACAGGCTGGTGCACCACCTGTGCCCCCTACTGTGCCAACCTGCTGTGCTTTAGCCACCCGGCGCTCCGCTCGTTGTTGTGAGCGTCGCTCCTCCGCCCTCCGTTGTTGTTGGAGGGCGACTGGCTCCAGTCTCTGCGACTGGAGGCAGTCGCAGAGACTCAGACACCCAGAGACTGACATAGACACACAGAGACTGACATAGACACCCAGAGACTCGCATGAACTGTGTCGGGATTAATCCGGGTTCTCAAGGGCAGTGAGTTGATGGTCTCAGCCTGGTCACCAATTCAGAATTTTTGTCAAAATTCCATCTCTGCCACGAGACGAACACTACCCTGACATGTGTGAAGGAGAGCTGCCCTCTACTGTATGTGGAGGTCCCGCGAGGGGTTACGGCAGGTAGCTCTGTGATATCCACTTCGCTGGGCCGTTCTCACACGCGAAGACAAAGTCTCTATTATGCGACGTTTCAGGCAATGGTCCTTTTCACAGTACTCACATAGAGCGAGGCCAGAGAGGTGGAGTCACTCTGCCTGTCTGGCCTCTGTACGTGCTCTGCAGAAGGGCCATTACTACGTCGCCTATTGTATATGTCATTTTTTTAAGACCCCCCAAAATGATAAAGATCCCCCGTGTAGCCTGAACAGACTGTTGGGGCAAGTGTTGTTAGCGAGCACCTATGAAGGCCGGAACGGCACACGGCCGCATTTGTCTCCCGAGTGGCGATGTCGACCTAGGTGGATACTGAGATAATCGTCACTGGTGTTGGCCGTGAGCGGGAATCGAACTCGGTTCGCCGGGTTCGTGGCGTAGACCCCGAACACACACAACAGCGTTATCGACCAATATGTTGAGTTTGTTTTGTTCTGCAGCCTGTGACCTTCCAACCATTGTTTGACCCCCCCTCCATCCCCCGCTTCGCCTCCCCCTCTTCCCCCACCCGCACCCCCTCCATCCCTTACCTCGCCCCCCCTCCATCCTCCCCCACCGGCACCCCCCCACCCGCACCCCCTCCCTCCCCCGCCTCGCCCTCCCCCCAACCTCGCCCCCCCTCACCCCCCTCGCCCCTCCCTCCACCCCCCGCCCCGCTCGTAGGCGCGCGTCGTTCTTTGCGTGCCACCTCAACCGCCAGCTGTACGTGATCGGGGGTCGCAACGAGACGGGCTACCTCTCGTCGGCCGAGGGCTACAGCCTGGAGAAGAACGAGTGGCGCTACGTGGCCGCGCTCCCGCACGCGCTCGCCGCTCACGCCGGGGCCCTGCACGACGGGAAGATCTTCATCTCGGGTGAGGAGGAGGAGGAGGGGGAGGAGGTGTAGGAGGAGGGGGAGGTGTAGGAGCAGGAAGTGGGGGGGGGGAAGTGGGGATGGAGGAGGAGGTTGTGGAGGAGGAGATGGAGGGAGAGGAGGTGGGTTAGGGAGGAGCGAGGAGGTGGAGGAGGATTAGGTAGCAGGAAGTGGAGGAGGAGGGTTAGGAAGGAGGACCAAGTGGGGATGGAGGAAGTTGGGATGGAGGTTGTGGAGGAGGTGGAGGAAGTGGAGGTGGGTTAGGGAGGAGCACGGAATAGGGGGAGTTGGAGGAGGAAGAGGAGGGCCCGGAATGGGTGGCCAGGTGGGGGGAGGAGGGGGGTATGAAAGTTCACGGCGCCTATTAAACGAAGTTGATGATGCTGCGTCGCCAGTAATGCACAAGGACAACTAACAACATGAATACAAATCCACGGCGTTCAACCAGAACGCCGTGGCCTCAAGAGGCAGCGCGTGTGCGTTGCGTGACGTGTCGGGCGATTGCCCTACTTCATAGCACGATGAAGAAGAAGAATTGCCGCAAAACGTCGCCGATTATATATTATCCCTTTAAATGCCACGCAGTGTGATTGACAAATGCGTGCAGGTTGTTTTGTTTGTTACGTTGTAGAGTCGCTGCAGTGATGCGCTGACGCTGCCCGTTTTATATCCCTGCACGGTCTCCATGCCGCTGCCTGTGCCCGACTCGGCCCGTCATTCCCCTCCCCCCTCCCCTCCTGAACGGCGCCCCACGGCGTGAAGAGCCGCAGAACAACATCACGTGACGCGCAACGTCCTCACCACCACTCACCACCACTCACCACCACTCACCACCACCACCACTCACCACCACTCACCACCACCACTCACCACCACCACTCACCACCACTCACCACCACCACCACCACTCACCACCACCACCACTCACCACCACTCACCACCACCACTCACCACCACTCACGACCACTCACCACCACTCACCACCACCACTCGCGACCACTCACCACCACCACCACCACTCACGACCACTCACCATCACCTCCATCCACCCACCCGTCACCCTCCGCCCCACCCCCATCTCAACATCACCGAGTCGCGCTGTGGCTGTTGACATCTGTATTGATGAGTTATTTTACTGGTGTAATACCCAGTTATTGACCGATACAGACGCGTTGGCCCGGATCAGTCAATTACCCTTTATAGTTCCTGCCCAGCCGCTGATAAGACGCGGGCTCGCGGGGGAGGAGGAGGTTTTGGTTGTTGTGTGTCTCTGATGGAACGAGAAACAGGCAATTTATTGAGAGTGCGTCTGAATCGCAGCGTGGCCTTGCTTGTGCGTCGTGCGGCGGTGAGCGCCGACGCGCAGCGAAAGCCGGCGACGCGAGTTCGATTCCCGCTCATGGAGTAATTCCGGGGATGAACCCTTGCCTGGCAACCCCTTATCAGTGCCCTACCTTATTATATACCAACTCAGACCTCACTGGTCACTTCGTACCTTTATAAATCTCAACGTTGAACCTACAAAGTCCCATCGCAAGGGAGAAACACAAACAAATAGACAACATTTTTTTTGTTTGCCCGATTGAAACGGCTGATCACTCAATTTCCCTGCACAGGAATACGGGGTAAACCGTATGGATTGACAGGTTTCCGAATACCTAAGCCAGTGTCCCCCCCCCCCCCCCCCCAAGTCGAGTCAGCTGCTCGCTTGCAGCACTTGCTCCTGAGTCTGTTAAGGCTACATGGGGATCTTTGTCTTTGTTTGTGGTGAGCACACTGCGCGACAAACCCGGCGACTACCAATATCAGTTGCAAATATCTGAACCAGTCCTGGGCCTCTCCTAGGTCGTTTCAGCCTTAAATGAGTACCTGGTGCATTGTGTAGCACTGGTGAGACAAAGGCGGCCGGGCGTGGTGCTGGCCACCCACCCCTTCGTGTACCGTGCTCGCCTTCATAGGTGCGACTCGCTAACAGCACTTGCCCCAACAGGCTATGTGGGCTCCACGGGTGATCTTTATTTGTATTTGTATTATTTTTGTGGGTGATTGAGTGTGTGACGGTGAGTGTATTTGTGAGTGTTCATGGGTCAGTGTGTGTCTGTGTGTGTGTGAGCCTGTGTGTATGTGTGTCTGTGTGCGTGTGTGTGAGTCTGTGCGTGTTAATGTGTGCGTGTGTGTGAGTCTGTGCGTGTTAATGTGTGTGTGTCTGTGCGTGTTAATGTGTGCGTGTGTTAGTCTGTGCGTGTGTGTCTGTGTGCGTGTGTGTGAGTCTGTGCGTGTGTGTCTGTGTGCGTGTGTGAGTCTGTGTGTGTGTCTGTGTGCGTGTGTGTGAGTCTGTGCGTGTTAATGTGTGCGTGTGTGTGAGTCTGTGCATGTTAATGTGTGCGTGTGTTAGTCTGTGCGTGTGTGTCTGTGTGCGTGTGTGTGAGTCTGTGTGTGTGTCTGTGTGCGTGTGTGTGAGTCTGTGCGTGTGTGTCTGTGTGCGTGTGTGTGAGTCTGTGCGTGTGTGTCTGTGTGCGTGTGTGAGTCTGTGCGTGTTCATGTGTGCACGCTTGTACGAATGGGTGTACGTGGTTATGTAGTGCGGGGAGCGGTGGCGCAGTGGTTAGCACAGTCCACCGCGAACCCCGCGTAGCATAAGTTGGCTTCCCGGCCACGGCTAACATCAGTGGAGAGTGATAGAGTATGTGAACCACCCCTCCACCCCCCCCCCCCCCCCTCCTGGAGTTCGTTCTCCCGGCAGGGCAGCAAGAGTAGGCCACATACCCCCGGAGTGGGGGGCTCTAGAGAGCGAGACAGACAGACTTACAGAGAGACAGCGAGACAGACAGAGAGACAGCGAGACAGACAGACAGCGAGACAGACAGGCAGTGAGACAGACAGATAGACAGAGAGACAGACAGAGAGACAGAGAGAGAGACAGAGAGACAGACAGAGAAACAGAGAGACAGACAGAGACAGACAGACTTACAGAGAGACATACAGCGAGACAGACAGAGAGACAGCGAGACAGACAGACAGCGAGACAGTCAGCGAGACAGACAGATAGACAGAGAGACAGAGAGACAGCGAGACAGACAGGCAGCGAGACAGACAGGCAGCGAGACAGACAGAGAGACAGACAGACAGAGACAGACAGAGAGACAGACAGACAGAGAGACAGACAGAGAGACAGAGAGACAGACAGAGAGACAGAGAGACAGACAGAGAGACAGCGAGACAGACAGAGAGACAAACAGACAGAGAGACAGCGAGACAGACAGAGAGACAGACAGACAGAGAGACAGACAGAGAGACAGCGAGACAGACGGACAGACAGAGAGACAGCGAGACAGACAGAGAGAGAGAGACACAGACAGAGAGAGTGATTGCAGGCACGGCCTGCGCCTTTACCACCGAATTACCCCCTCGCCTTCGTTGGCTTCGCACGGTGCGAAAGAAATTCAACGTAATGCATACATCAACATACATACACCAACATACATGCATACAGCAACATGCATACATCAACATGCATACATCAACATGCATACATAAACATACATTAACATACATACATCAACATATTAACATACATCAACACACATTAACATACATCAACATACACGCATCAACATACATCAGCATACACACATCAACATACATAAATAAACATACATACATCAACATACACACACCAACATACGTAAATCAACATACATAAATCAACATACATAAATCAACATACACACATAAACATACATACATCAACATACATACATCAACATACACACATCAACATACATATATCAACATACGTACATCGACATACACACATCAACATACGTAAATCAACATACATAAATCAACATACATACATCAACATACATACATCAACATGCATACAGCAACATACACACATTAACATACGCAAATCAACATACATAAATCAACATACATACATCAACATACACACATCAACATACATAAATCAACATACACACATAAACATACGTACATCAACATACATACATCAACATACACACATCAACTTACATAAATTCACGTACATGCATACATCAACATACATATATCAACATACATAAATCAACATACACACATCAACATACATACATCAACATACACACATCAACATTACACACATCAACATACATACATCAACATACACACATCAACATACACACATCAACATACATACATTAACATACACACATCAACATATACACATCAACATACATATATCAACATACGTAAATCAACATACACACATCAACATACATACATACATCAACATACACACATCAACATACAACAACAACAACAACAACAACCGCCATTCGCCACTAAGTGGCGGTGACGTCACCACGACGCTTGTGCCAGGCTATGTGCACCCTGAGGCCACGTGAAGTGTCGAACGCCCGCTGGCAGGAGGTCACGGGGCAGACCCAGGTGCCACGGGTCGACTGACTGAGATGACTGGCTGATGCACCACCTGTGCCCCCTACTGTGCCAACCTGCTGTGCTTTAGCCACCCGGCGCTCCGCTCGCTGTTGTGAGCGTCGCTCCTCCGCCCTCCGTTGTTGTTGGAGGGCGACTGCCTCCAACTGCCCAGTAGCATCCTTCACGAGCCTCCTCCACAGAGGCCGATCTTGACACCGCTGGTACCAGTCATCGGCAAGTCCACTCAGCTCCACGTCCTCCTGTACCACATCACTCCATCTCTTCTCTAGCCCGTGCCGCGCCCGCTTAGCCCCCTCAATCCGGCCAAACAAAAGCTGTTTCGGCATGCGGTGGCTGGGCATGCGGGCTACATGACCCAGCCATCGCAGCCTTGCCTGCCGGAGGAGCTCACCGATGGGACCCTGCCCAGATCTTTCAAGGATTTGTGAGCTCCTCACACAATCCAGTCTGGTTAAACCCAGGATGGATCGTAGGCAGGTCAGCCTAAATGTTTCTAACCGGCGAAGATGTTCCATTAGGGGGGTCCACGTTTCGCAAGCG